TCTCTCTCTCTCTCTCTCTCTCTCTCTCTCTCTCTCTCTCTCTCTCTCTCTCTCTCTCCAGAGCATGCAATATTTGCCTTTCTTGTACAGTAATAACATGCATGGAAATGAGTCTTTAAGCAATACAAATTTCCCATCCAAAAGTCGTTAGATAAATGAATCAAAGAATATTTTTTAGGATCTTATCAGCTACATTGTAATACAGTTCATTTCTATATACTAAACTTTGTGCATATCTGAGATTTCTAACATAAGTACATAAATTGCAGTGGTTTACATCACAACAACTCAGGTGAGATGGTCCTCAATGCAGAACACAAGATCCAAGGGGCGTGGTTGGATCCAGATCAAACTCCTCCTACCTTACATATACCTAAACCCACCCATCTCCACCCCTAACCCTACCAATCTCCACCACCTAGATGTGGATCCAACCACGCCCCCTAGAACTTGTGTTCTGCGGTGAAGGGCTACTGCAAATATCACCAAAACAGTTCTGCATGAATAACACTTTTTTGTTTGACAGCCCTAGCCTGTAAATAGCAAGAAAGTAAGCGGTCCGCGCGATGTAGCCAATCAGAAAACTATAATTTACAATTAAAAGTATAATTTACATACTGTATATATATATATATATATATATATACAATTACTAATTAAAAAGTAATTATTGTCCTACTAAAAATCTTGACAGAATGGCTATGATTTTAATACTACAAGTGTGTTCAGAGCACAGTTAGTTCAGTCTTTAAATTTGATTGGCTGAGTTGCATTCTGGGACTTTTGGATGCTTTGTCTGTTTGTATATTCCAGACGGACTGTCGCTGAGCACGAAATTGAATACTTCCCTACAATATAGTATGTGAGAAACAGTACGCCAAAAATGTCCGAATTAACAGTATTCATAAAACAGTAAGTTAATATTACCTGGATGACCTACTACTAATCAGTCATTCAACTGATTCATTCAAAAACACTGATTCATTCAGGAACGAGACACTTGTTTGGTTCTCAGCAGTTAATTCTGCTCTGGCTTCATTTGGAACTTACGGAGCCCCGCACATGACATGCAAGAAAAAATTAATAAATCGTGCGCACAATTTACTAATTTGTTCCCTCGAAGTACTAAAACATGCACACGATTACTGTGAGGTAGACTAGTGTGGGTGCTGGTGGAAATTGAGCAGACATAAGTCATCCGGTCCTAATGTCTCTATATATATATATATATATATATATATATATAGCCGGCCTTTTCTACAATTACTATTTTGTTCCCTCGATTTGCTAATTCGTTCCCTCGATTTGCTAAATTGTGTGCACAATTTACTAATTCATTCTCGATTTATAAATCGTGTGCACGATTTAGCAAATCAAGGGAACGAATTAGTAAATTGTGCGCACAATTTATAAATCAAGGGAACGAATTAGTAAATCGTGCACACAATTTAGCCTACAATTTTTTCCTGCATGCCATGTGCGGGGCTCCGTAGGAACTAGCGATATTGTGTCCAAAATATTAGTTACACACCAGATTAAATTCTTGTTTATTAAACTGTAGTATAAAATATACCCATGAGTCACGTTGTCTGTTGTTTTCTGTGTTAGTTTTCCTTTTACCTAGTTTTGCTTAGTTGTCTTAATTATGTCTGTAACGGGGCGAACGAGAAGTGAGACGTGCGGATCCATATGCAAGGCTTTATTTCCAAGACGTGAGGTCATATAACAGGCATGGGTCAAACAATGGCAAACGGGTACAACACAGGCAAGACAGAGTAAACCTAGGACAAGCGTGGGTCTTCAATAGGCAAACAGAATCCAGAGGGCTTGACAAAAGGGGTAATCCGTAATACACAGGCAAAGATCTTCACACAGGAAAACAGGCAAGGCAAGACTAGACTAAACTATGAACTAGACCGGGAACTGGCTCTGTAAAGTAGCTACCGCTAGAAGAGTGATAAATGCAAAACAATACTCTGTTTTGAATGGTGGTGTGAGACTGATTTATATAGTGTGTGTTATTAGTAGCTTTCAGGTGAGCGTGTGATTGGTTACAGCTGTGTGCAATCAGTGCAATGGATGATGGCAAATGTAGTCCAGGGTATAGTGTAACAGTCTGTGTAGTGTGAGAGTCCATGTAGTGAGCGGGTGACCTCTGGTGGTGAGTGAACGGAAGTTCATAGACCGGATTCGTGACAATGTCATTCTGTTCCCCTGTGTTTTAATTAATTATCTCGTTAGTCCCAGTGTTTAACTACTCTTAGTTCCTTCTAATCTCTATCCGTCTTGGTTTGTGTTTGTGTCTATAATATGTTGTTCTATGTTGGTTTCAGTTATCTCCTTTGTTCCTTGTGGATTAATTATTAAAAGACTGTTGTGGATTACTCTTCGTCATCGTGAGCTTATTAAATAGCACCTCAGCGTGACACGTGCTGTTATTCTGAATATTAGGAATAAAATCACTTCCTCTAAACTACAGGTATTTCAACCTCCTCATTTCCACATATAAGACAGTGGCTGAAAATATAGTGATATGGTTGAACTATTAAGAGTAGTAGGCTAATATTCTGCCAGTGATTGGTGTAACTGGAGTTGTGATCCAAAGTGTCTTGTGTTTTGTGCATGTCCAAAGGCTCTTCCTTCCTGTTTACGCCGTCATGCTGAAGCAATCGGGCTGTCAATCACGTGAATGTAAACTTCTCTGGCAGCCACTAATCGTCAGACGCTAAAATCATGCGGCCAGTGTTGGGAGTCGATGTGACAAGTGATGCACTGCTGACAGCTGGACCCTGATTTCACTATGAAACAGCAGGGTGCTGTCTCTGTGTAATTACAGGTGATAAAGAGCTTTATTTGTGTTGTTTGTTTTGATTGAAATGAGTGTCATGCATATGGTTTCTACTGCCATGCCTTAAACATAAACGCCCCTCTAATTGGCACAACTGTTTTGTAATACGTTGCTTATAATAGTATGCAGGTATGTCATATAAGACAAGAGCTGATGTGTGGCTGTATACTTAAACCTATAAAGCCTGGGCCCTGACATATAAACAAATAAAGAAATTGGCTTGAAATGGAAAAGTTGAAACTTTAGATAAAACATTAATAAAATCAAAAAAAAAAAAAAAAAGAAGAAGATGGGTTTTGATGAGTATCATAATAGACACAACAGGCTTTTATGGCTCATAGTACACTAAAAATCAGTAACCTGTAACTGTAACCTTAAAGAGCAAACTTTACCTGATTTAACCGATTAATAAAATAAAATAAAAATAAATTACAAAATAAATAATAGTCTTTTTGGTATAAATTATTGTATTTAGGTGTTTTTTTTTATATATATAAAAACAGTTAATTTAGAGCTTTTTTCAGTGTACACTCTTAAAAATAAAGGTGCTTCAAAAGGTTCTTCAAGCGATGCCATAGAAGAACCATTTTTGGCTCCACAAAGAACCATTCAGTCAAAGGTTCTTTAAAGAACCATCTCTTTCTTGCGTTTTTGTAATCTGAAGAACCTTATTTCGCCACAAATAACCTTTTGGGAAACAGAAAGGTTCTTCAGATGTTAAAGGTTCTTTATGAAACCATTTAGACAAAAAGGTTCTTCTATGGCATCGTGAAGCACCTTTATTTTTAAGAGTGTATGAAAAACCACCTCAGTTTTATTCAGAGGCCCAAACTGAGCAAAAATATGCAATTGATGCAGATATTATTTATATGGTCAATAAGTAAGTTGAAATGTGTATGTAATGAGATTTATAACAATATAACAGACTACTTTCATTTAAATAAAATACATGAAAATACATGATATCAGTGTCTCTCTATACCTCCCAATTACATATATTTAAGTGCTCAATTTATATGATTAAAGCTCTATGGTTTTTATTGTGGGGGCAAAACACATAATGCAGTGCAGTACAATGATGATATGTTTGATGCTTTTAACACAATGTGTCAACAAATTATTTATGGATAATCAAGTAAACTTAAGTTCATTCGGTCTATTTCAAGTATTCATCTTGAAATATAAACAATATATAAGTTATTCTTATATTTACTTTATAAAAATCAGTAAAGATTTCGCAACAAAAAGACGTGAACCACAACCTGAAGAAAGATACTAAAAGGCTTTGTACTTGCTAAAACAGATAAACTATCAATCAGAAGACAGAAGACATACTAGATTGTGTACAACTGGTTTTTCCAGCAAAGTTTTGGTCATGCTGATAGTTTAGAGGCCTTAGAAATGTGCATTTGATCAAATATGATAAAGTAGGCTTTAAAGGGTTAATTAGTACAGTTCTATACTCGCAAGCATGGTCTTCTGATAGCAGAAGAGCTGTTAAAGGTATATTATGTTAAAGTTTCACTATTACAGATCTTCGATAAACAAGTTGCCCAAGGTGGCTGAATCAAACAAACGACAGCACTGGTTCAAATAGCAATGCTGCTTCCCCAGAGGGCACAGCCCTACCTTAAGGCAATGAGGAACCTATGAAGGGCAAAGATCTGGCAGTCTATCCAGACCTATTTGTTAGCTGAGCATTAGACAAATAGTCCTGTACTGTACTGCCGTCACTACAGAACAGCAAAGCAACAAGCAGTGTACAGCGGCACTGAATTACAATTGTGTAAACACAGCAGACGGAAATCATTTCAAGCTTTTGTGTAAATGAAAAGCAGGCCGCTCATGTTTGTGTCTTAGTGTGTTTAGATGATTTAATCAACATAATTTAATGCTTGCAAGACACATATCCTTCTGCACTTCATAAGTGGTGGGTGTGCTGTTAAAATGAAACAGGTTTGTCTTCACTAGGTAGTCTTTAGTATACTTACTACCTGTATTTGTCTTGGCTTGTTCCGTGTCTATTCAAATGTGCGTGCAAGTTCATTTACACAACCATTCATAGTGTTATATTTGGCTCTCTAGCACTGTGCATAACTATAAAGCGAAGTACAGCTGGAAATTTGTTCACTAGAATTCAGTGTCCAGTACATTTTTGCAGTGCATCATAAAAACAAGTTGTATATAGGGCACTTGTTGAATGAGTAAATTGCAAATGGTTTACCTTAAATGTGTTTTTATGAGACTGTCGTATAGTTGCATAATTCAGTATGTCGCATTTGAGTTTGCAGCAGTTTGGCCTGCAGTTGTTGTTGTCGACAACATAATGATATGACATCACTTTCTTAGAATGATAAGAGCAAGTCATAGTTCTGATAAATAATTTACACTACCGTTCAGTAAAAACAGTAATATTGTGAAGTAATATTACAATTTAAAATAACTGTTTTCTGTTTGATTATATTTTAAAATGTAAAAAATGTCTGTGATGCAGTGCTGAATTTTCAGCATCATTACTCCAGTCTTCATTGTCACATGATCCTTCAGAAATCATTTATCAAATCCTTGCACTCTAAAAAATGCTGGGTTAAATATGACCCAGCGCTAGGTTAAAAAGGGACAAACCCAGCTATTTGGTTGTTTTGACCGTTTTGACCGAGCAGTTCGGTTGTTTTGACCCAGCAGTTGGGTTGTTTTGAGTCAAAACAACCCAACCACTGGGTCAAAACAACCCAATAGCTAGGTTTGTCCCTTTTTAATCCAGCGCTGGGTTATATTTAACCCAGCATTTTTTAGTGTGCCGAATTCAAAAATAATAATTTTATTAAAAAAATAAATACTGACACCAAACGTTTGAACAGTATATACCGTAAACGTATAAGTTACCATAAGTGATAAGAAAACAATCAATGTAATATGTGGAAAAAGATTAAATGGTTTAGAAAATGTACAGTTAAGGACACAGAAAAGAAATAGTCTGAAGTGAAGTATTTAAAAGCATTATATTGTGTTTTGTTGATCTGATAGAGATCCGTTAGGGTTTATTTGTTTGTTTTTAGAAACTGTTTTTTCCTGCTTATAATGGCCTTTGTCACTTGGCAGGGCATGTAATATGGGTCTGGGGTTTGGGTTGGGTGTTTCTATGGAGTGCCACCTAAACCTCTTATTATAGTACACAGTATCACATTATAGAATGCCTAAACTCAACTGTGGCAAACACTAACCGCAGATTTGCAAGTTATCATGTGAATCACTGATATCTGATAACCCATACTGCCACAGTTTCCTCTTGCTTTTCTATCCAGCAATATTTTCTTTAAATGTACACTTCATGGAAAGCACAATCAATGTGGGTGCAGCAGACAATAGTGAGGATGACTGACTTCCAGTCTTTATCTTTGTTATCTGATATGTTATAGAGGAACTCTGGCTGATATGCATGCTATAAAATGTCACCACTGTCAGACAGGAAATCTTACAGTGTTGGCAGCTGACAGTGCACTATATTGTATATCACTATAAAATATTGTATTAAATGCAGGAGCCATTTTGCTTTTCTGATTACGGTAGCAATTAATAAGACCAACACTTAAAATGATATATCAACTAAAAATTCAAAACTGTTACTTTTTCAGGATGTGTGACTGGACATATCAGGAGTGTGTATAAATAATAATAAATATAGACACTAAAATCATGTGGCCAGTGTTGGGAGTCGATGTGACAAGTGGTGCAAGTTATATACAGTTTTTAATAAAATTATGATAAAACTGTATATAACTCACTAGAGTCTGTGAGATGTGTTTGCACTCATTTGAAAGCCAACTTTTACAAAATGTTTACATAAATATTGGAAGGTATTGACAAAAAAGTAGGCACACTGTAGAAATATATTTTTAAA